TACACGAAATAGGGTGAATACATCTCATTACACTGATTTACTGGTAGTCTCGAAACCCTACTCTTATACGTATATATGTTTAGATACATTCACATGTCTTGTGAATGCACACAAGAGGTGGTCTCACTGAGGCTTCGAACGCTGTCTGCATTGAACTAGTGATGATGATCAGATGTGTTGACTGATGTCTAAGATGGCCGTGCCCAGGATGCCTTCTACTGGGACTCGCTGGCTTGGTGACCATCTTGATTGTGCAATGAAATACATCTTATCTAAGGCCCGACGAATGCAGAAAACACCTACACATCCCTCAGCTCCTAGGTCTGATTAGGATGCAGTCTATAATAAACATGTAAAGGTCTGGTGTCTCTTCTCTTATCTCAGTAGATTGATCTTTGCCTTATTCCCATTTCCATACTCAAGTGTCTTTGCCTTAAGGTGTCACTTTGCATTGTATTTACCGTAAACTCGTTTAATTGATTAAGTTATCATTATTACTATGTAGTATATTCAAAGAAAATTTATGTTTCGAGGAATTTTTCGTTTCACTTTTGTTGAGTTTACTTCCATCTCGAATGAAAGCGTTTGGTCTATCCCACCATAAGACGATTGCGGATTCCTCTTGGGCAGGTCGAGATATAACTCGAACTAGCAAAATCACTTTATAGTTCATCAAAAGGATTAGATATAGGATATATATATATATGCATCGTTCAAGGATAAACCGGTGGGTTTTCTTGGCTCGTTTTAATAATGATACCCTGTTGTGATAATGAATTCCGTCATACGAGGTATGAAAGTTTAGCACATTTTCAACAGAATCGAATGAGATTGCTTCGGAAATAGTGTCAACAAGAAAGCTTATGGACAGTTGGTCAAGAGGAATCCACCTTCGTCTTCTTGTGGGATCGACCTTCGAATCTCTTCAGCAAACCTTTTCACTATTGATAAGTACTTTCACAGCTGTTATGAATCGATTGTTGTTGATGTGCTTTCGAATGATATTATTAGATTGGCAGAGAATCTGTCTGCTGTCCAAATTGTATCCTTATTTATAATCCATCCCTGCTAAAGCCATATGCTTCCACAATTCTTCCTTCTTCCAATCCCCTGTTTATTACATTTCTTGGACCTAAGATTTGTAGCGCTTTCCTGGTCTTTGGTTTAATAGTGTCTTCATAAGCTGCCTATCTTTCGAGTGCGCTCTAGCCGATTTTATGGCCCGGGGGGCAATATATTAGGATATTATTTTATTGATCCTTTGGTATTCTCTTTTCAACTATTATTGTCAAAGCCTCGTCTTCAATTTATTTTTACCAGAAATCGCTTTTTTTTACTACTCTTATTTCATAATCATAGATTAATCTGTCTAAACTGCCCGAGTGCATTTTTGTGTGCATCTCTTTTATCATTGACTTATTCAGCTTCGGATCCTCTGAAAGTCTCGATGGTTTCGAAATGCATTACACGAAAACTCCGGCTCAAAGTGACAGTAAAAATGAGAGTTCGCTGCGCACATGGCGTTGTTCAATACCATTTCCTAATGTCCATCCTGACATTGTGATTGGAGCTCTCTGGAATTTCCGGTTAGTCTCCATATTAAAGTCATTTAGTTCAATTTCATTTATTGAATACGAAATTATTTTCCTAGTTAGCTTAATGTTAGTTAAGGACTAATAATTGAGTTTTGTCTCAATCAGATGAGTATAACTTAGGGTGCCATTAAGTTTCGCTCAACTTTTCCTCCCGAAAATCTATCTCATCTCGACAGGTCTGGACCACAGTTTCGAACTCACCTCATTGCCTTATATCAACACCCTCTTTGAATTTGATACTGGATCGCGATTATCATGGCGATGTTACCTCTCCCCTACATAATTTCATATGCCAGTAGGTCACACGACAAATGTGGCATTCAAGGCATGCCTGGCCTCTCCCAAATCACATTTAAGGTGGCTCCTGTCGCAGTGTAGTATAAATTTAACGTCACCATGATACTCATGACACAGATCAATTCACTTTCTTTCCTGTCGAGATTGACCTACGAATTTCATCACGCACTTCTATTCGTAATGGAAGTGAGCTTAATATTGGTAAGTCAAGAGATTCATCCCAAAACGGCTTTTATTTCTATGTTAAACAACTGGGGAGATTTTTCGTTTAAAAGCAAGCAAGCAAGCGGATACTAGCACAGCTATATGAACCGATCACGAATCATTCACGATCACTTCATACAAGTGTGCACTTCCTCTAATTTACCTCTTTGGTTCTTTTACTCTTAGGTATAAATGGGATCCTGAAATAGAGTCTTGCCATCTGGAAGATCAGTTGACGGATCAGATACAGCTTTGTCGAGTCGGTTTCCGTACTTGCCACGCTCAAAACATCCGATGGGCTCGACTGCTACGCGGACATCTGACCTCAGCATCATCGGCTATAACTACTACAGAATTGTTCGATTGCGCTCCCTCTCCCCCTTCGCTTCTCTCTCTGTCTACTCCGCCTTCCTCTTCATTCTCTCCTGCTACCTCTTCAAGTGGCCACCGGACGACAGCCAAGACGATGGCTTCCAGTCCCGTTATAGTCTCCAGCTCTTCCGGCCACCTCGCCTTTAGGCCGACCCTTATGCCGGGTTCTGACTGGGTTCGGGCAATTTATGTATCTGAGTCTATCGATCGAACAAAGACTCCTAACCCTGCACGGCGGTTTATTAAAGGCAGGAATCAGCGCTGCCGCCGGCTTTCCGGCAGCAACGAGACGCCGGGCTGGGACTCCTTATGGCCAACTTTGTCAATGACTTGTGTATACAAAGAGCACTTGCTCGCCGAGAGAGCGCCAGGTGCTTTTGGATGTCGGGTTTCGATAGTTTCCAAAATTGACCTTGGGTGAGTAAAAGCCACTAAGCTTTTCCCTCCATCGTGAGACTCTAGGCTTGTGAGGCTATCGTTTATAATGTGATTGTTACTAGTCTTATCGACGACTTTTTAAAAATCTATAAATGACTATATTCACCATATTTTGTTTACCCCGATGAAGCATACTTTAAAACGACAGTATAAATTGACTACTTTGGAGTCACCATTTTTATGATAGTTAGATGTCGTGTCCGTTTGGCGAGTAACCCGCTCTAAAGTTGTTGCATTAATGATTTATTGAGACTACTTTGTGGCAGTCTCTAAGTCTCTCTGAGGCATGAAAGCGAAACTTTTAACTATTATGGTCTAGTTTTAGACCCATGATATGATTGCCGAATTTTAGCGTTGAATCATTATTTCCACATACTATATATATAAAAATATCATTGTTATTATTAGTCCGTTATTCTCTCTCTATTTGCTAGTGTATCAAGCATTTTTCAGAGTATATCTTTTGATTCCACCTGCTGCAGACACTGAAACACATAGGATCCAGCATGTAACGAACTTTAATTGGGTCTGTCTTTAAAAAAGATTTCTACCCCAACTAATCATTCTTTATATAGGAATATCTTGGATACGAAGAGTCAACGGGTTTAGATGATGCTTTTAAGTTTGTTGTGAAGACTTTCATTTCGTAGGAAAGTGCATGAAGAAGAGATTCGTAGGTCGATCTCACCAGAAGACAACAGCTGATTCCCATTTTAATGCAGCCGTTTGGCTTTCAGGTTGACGCAGTCAACGAGACATCCTCTTTCGTTTCGTGTGAGAATAAACTGAGTTTTCGTCCATCATATGCTGGATAACACCGGAGCTGGAACTCATCCTTATACAATTGTCAAGTAAAAACTAAGTCAAGAAGGCTGTTTAGATCCTTCCTACGCTTTGAAACCTGGCTTATACGAATCCAAACCTACATTTTAATATCCCAACCAGGCTTGCTTGCGGACTCACGAAGTCTTCGTCAGGGGTTTTTTCTGTGGTCATTAAGTCTTGATGACCCGAGCCTGACATAAGGCTTTTTAAGTCACTCTTATTTAGAATCGGCATCTCGTGTAAACGTTATCATACAGACCCACACCCCCCCCCACACACACACATACACACATGTACACACAAGTAAAAGT